CCTTGTAGGGGTCCCGCCTTTGCCCGTTTACATTTGTTTGATTTGTTCGTTATATGCAGGGCCGGCCCGTGGCATAAGCGACATGACTGGGGGGGGGGCGCCGCATGAAAGTTTTTTTTCTCGGAGGAGCACCCTCTTGTGACCATCGTGCGCTCCTACACCCATATATTAAGCAAATACTGACTATTACAATTTGATCGAACGGATTAAAATAATTTTAGAATAAAATAAAATCAACGAAAAATCATAAGATTTGACAACATGTCATGTTGGACTAATTTAAACACTTACTGCGTCATGACGTAATTATAATACATCATCATAACGCAATAATTATGCATGGCGCACACATAGTTTTGCGGGTCACGACGAGGCGTTCCCCATAGCGACCCCTAGAGGACGCAGTTCGAAGTTCCCATGAAAGGGAATCACAAGTTAATCACTGTGTATTTGCCCTTGATGTTTGTGCAGTATTTTGAAATAGCCTTTTTAGAACATCTTAACTGGCAACACTGACACTGTGGAACGTTTTTGCTTGAGTTAACTGCTTATTTAATTTTACTTTATTTTCTTTAAAATAAATGTAAGCTTCTTGTAATGTTGTTTTAATTTCAGTTACATTACTTACTTTTAATTCACCAAAAGTGCACTAAATGACTTTTGAAAGAGACCATGACTAGGACTATAATCTAGCATTCATGAATTAAAATAATTTAAGTATGCCATTTTCCACTGTATGCACAAAATGAAATGGGTATGCTAATTAGATTAACTAGCTAGCTTTCTGGCTAACACCTACAAATAAATTACAATATGTAGCCTTTATTTTGTTGCCTTTGTTGTCTGTTAGACTATTTTAGGCATTCCATATTTCTCTTTGTTGTAATAAGTACTTGTCACTGTAGGCATAGTCACATTCTTTCTGATTTGAGTGATCCTTCTCTATCAAGCTAGCTAAATGTTTAACATGTGAATTCTTGCTAAATATGCAGTTATATTACAGGTCGTTGGCATGAATTGTACTCGTGATGGAGCGGTGGTGGAGCGCTCTTGGAGCGAGTGAAAACCACGACGCGCCGACTTTTAAAATATCCACGCTCCATTCAAAATCACACCGCTCCACTATATACACACACACACACACACACACACACACATCTGTGCATCATTCACATAAAAAATAAACATTGTAGTGATAAACAGGAAAGCATTCAAGGATCTTTTGTTACATCAA